CTTCTATCTTTCCCTCTCGCTTCCTCTCTCTGAAATCAATAAAAACTTCTTTAAAAAATACTTTAGTAACAATTAGCATTCCCTTTTCTTTACTAGGCAAATGTAGACAGCAGCCTTTAAAGCTCAACCAAAAGGCTTTTGGAATTTTTAACAAGTGCTACATTTTGGTTTGTCCTGGCTAGTGAGCTGTCCTGAATTATCTCAGGAGAGGTATACCCATATTCTATTTAAATGTTTATAACCCATGAAGTCATTAACACTTTGTAATGAAATGGAAATGGTATCTCAATGTGCACCTCTTAAGTGTTTTTGAAAAAGTCATAGTAAAATAGCTATTCCCTTAATCAGCTTATCTAGCCAGTGTTATAAAAATAATTATCAATTGTTCAAAAATAATTATCAATTGTTCAAACACAGACTCTCAAAGAGTAATGCTCAGTATCTACTGGAATTAGAGTTGTTGCCTATGAAAATACAGTTCTTATTAAAATAAAAGCACCCCCCAGAGGTGTGTTTTTTTTTCTTTTTTCTTTTTTTAATATTTTATTATTATTATTATTTTTTTTTTTTTTTTTTTACAGAGAGGAAGGTAGAGAGCTAGAGAGCTAGAAACATCGATGAGAGAGAAACATCGACCAGCTGCCTCTTGCACACCCCCTACTGGGGATGTGCCTGCAACCAAGGTACATGCCCTTGACTGGAATCGAACCCGGGACCTTTCAGTCAGCAGGCCAACGCTCTATCAACTGAGCCAAACCGGTTTTGGCCAGAGGTGTGTTTCTTTAATAGAACAGCTAACCTTGGTAGATACAACTAGCCTTTAAAAATAAGTTTATACATAAAGATTCAAAACATCAACACTGCAATGAAATGGCGTAGAAAGAAAGAGCAAATGCCTGACTTTAAAATAATTGTATGACTAGCCCTAGCTAGTTTGGCTCAGTGGACAGAGCATCCACCTACAGAATGAAGAGTCTGAGGTTCGATTCTGGTCAAGGGCACATGCCTGGGTTGCTCAATCCCCAGTAGGGGGCATGCAGGAGGCAGCCGATCAATGATTCTCTCTCATTGATGTTTCTATCTCTATCTCCCTTCCTCTCTGAAATCAGTAAATACACACACACACACACACACACACACACACACACACACACACACACACATATATTTTTAAATAGCATGACTAGAGCATTCAGAAGTAAAAAAAACCTCAAATAATTTGGTTAAAGCCTCTCTGAACTTTTAAAACTTTACATAACAATCTGTCTCACTCAGTTTTCAAGACAACTTAGCCAGCATTTGCTCATTCAACCAATATTTACTAAGCAATTTTTCTGTTCCAAGCCCTGGCACACATCAGTAGACAGAGCACAGTCCATGCTCACCTTATAGTCTGTTGAAGAGAGGGGGTCGGGGGGAAGGAGATCTGAATGCACTAAATAGACCATCTCAGTTATTGGTAAAACAAAACAAGAAAATAATGCCCAGAGCACAGAGAGTGCTCAAAAATTTCTTTCATCCTTAATGTTGACATATGCTTAGTTCTGTTCAATGTATCATTATCTCTGGTCTTGGTGAATTATAAAGATAAATCTTGCCCTAGCCAGCCTCAGAGGGAAAGTGGGGGTGTAATGGGAAGAGATTAACAGAAGAACTTATCCATAACCCCTGGACACAGACAACAGAGCAGTGGGCCTGAGGGAGGAGGGTCAGGTGCAAGGTAGAGGGGATCAATGGGGGGAAAGGGAGGGCATGTGTAATACTTTCAACAACAAAGATAAATTTAAAGAAAGAAAGAAAGAAAATAAGTGTATCTTGTATTTACACTCACTTATTCCTGACTCCAAACAGAATGCACAACAACGAAATTAAGTTTGATTCATAAGAATAAAAATAACCCAATCCTGGAGATCCAAGGACTCTGCAGCTGTCACAACGGAAGCCTGTGGACACACACTGCCTGATCCTTAGGGTCTAACTCATGGCCGTGCCTAATGGTCACTGCTCCTCAGTGGTCAGTGAAGGGCGTTTTCTCCTCACACAACTTTGATGTGTGAGGCCACACATTACTTGTGCCAATTCTACTAATAGTTACCAGTGAAATCGGTCTTTGATCACATGACTATGACCACACAAAAATTATATGAATATTTAAGCAGCTTATAAATAAAATTTGTAACACAAATACATGAATCTTTGATTCCTTTTTCTTAAGGAAGAGGGAACAAATAAGTGACTACCTTCTTTAACAAAAACTGCAACATTATACAATTAGGTACCAGTAGAGTCCCTTTGTTATAAATTATACTGTTAGTTAATCAAAGAATCAAAAACATTCATTAAAGTAGGAATTGTGGAGGAGGGATCTACAGGTCCACCGAAGGTTTTATTTTAACTGAAAATATAAAATCCAAGTTTATTCCCTAGCCTTTTAATACAGTGCCAAGTACTTGTCTCTTAGGGTGAATGTGCTAATAGCTTTCTTGCCTAAAATCTAACCCTTGCACATCATTTATGATTTCCAGTTTCAATTTCTTCAAAGAGGACTAGGAAACTAAATATGTCTGAGGGCAAAATCCTTCCAATCACGTACACTTCTATGGCCTACCCGCAATTCCAAAGCCAACTTTTTTAGAAATTCATTTGTATGGAGTCTGATCAAAGTATTCAACTCTGTTTACACCACAATAGTTCTTTCTTTTCAGTCTCATAATTTTACTGAATTATGTAATGTTTAACTAAGTTATATGATCTCAATTACAAGTATAATTGGCATGAACAGGTTTGGTTTAAAATACACTCAACTCAAAAAATAATAATAATAAAATAAAATACACTCAGCTCTTGGTAAGCACACAACTCAACCTGGTGGGAGCAGAAATGATAGCAGAGGAGTTGAGAGAGTTTGGTGTACAAGAAGCATTTGTTAATTAACATATTTTACAGAGAAAGGGGGATTTCTGATAAATCCAATGTGTTGCTTAAGAATTTCCATGAAATTTAAAAATATTAAGTTACTTAATATTTAGAGAAAGTTAAAAAGTAAAAAAAAAAAAATTATCAAAAGCAAAGATACATGTTCTTCAACATATCAACCCCTGCAAATACCTCACAATTTTGCAAATACTTTTGTTAAAGAAAGCATAATCATCTACAAATATTTTTAGAGTTAAAAGGAACATGGTAGGTACTACGGAAAATTTTTGGAGTTAAAAGGAATATGATAGATACTACGGAAAATTCTTTATCATTCAATTATGTGCTTATGTGAAAATTAACATAAATTACAAAATCTAATTATTACATTTTGTAACATGTTTGCTATGCTCAAATGTCTTTTTTTTTTTTTTTTAAATAAAAGGTGCCATATTAAACTAATGGGCATAGTATGTTACATTTAAACATCAAGTCCAACCACACAGGCTGGGTAAAGAAAATGATTCAAGGCTGAAAGTTAAAGAAAAAGTAGTTTTTAATAACTTAAATATCTGCATATATTAACACTAGTATATTCACATGTTTCACTTATTTATACTTGCACTATTGAACACAAAACTAAGTGCTAAAAGACATACAATTTTAACTGAAACCAAGTACTAATTCAGTAGCCTCACTTCTACTTCATTCAAATGAGTGAATAAAATATAAAAAAAAAAAGAGAGAGAGAAACTTCTAGTACCAGTACATTGTAGATATCAACATATATTTCTTTTTAAAGCTTAAAAGCTCCATGTCTTTTGTTTTAAAAATATCCATTATGTAAAATAAAGTGTGGTTTCTCACAAATACGACCATAATTTTTAACCTGACAAACAGAGCGAATGTGGATGCAAGGAAATGGGGACATTCATCCTCAGCCCTGTGGAGCTGAAATTGAGAAATTCTGTAAAGGTAACTTGGCATTGCTGACCAAAATTTTTAATGCACATAGAAACTTGGATAGAAGCAATCATACAAAGGTATAACGTGATATGTAAATGGATATTTATTTTTAATAACTAAAAATAGTCATTCAAAATGTTCATTAATAAGGGACTGATTGAATAAATTATATCCACACAAGGAAGTGTGTTTTAAATAAGGTAGAAAGATTGTTTATGATATATTAAATGTAAAGGCACACATCAAAACAGCCTGGATAGTAAATCTCATTTTTAAATTCTACAAATAAAAATGTATATATGCAAGTTAAGGTATGCATAGGAAACAGCTATAAGAATATATATCAAAATTGTAGAGAAACTCTCTTCTTTCTGTAAAATATATTCACTTATAAAAGCAGTTATTTAGTCCCCAAAATAAAAAGTCATAATCATACAAAACATTTTAGTCAAAAATTTAAAAACTTATAGCATTTTTTCCATTTTCTTTCTAAAGGATTTCCTTTCTTTTAATATTTGCTATTTACCAGTACTATATGCAAAACTGATTTCTCTTCTAATACAGAATATCATTTGCTCAAACCAAAAGGCATTAAATTTAACTTTGCGGGATTATATTAAATGAAGGTACTGTGACACAAAATAATCATGATTATACTCAAAGATGTGGCTTTTTATATTTTACCCCATATTTCTGCTATCTTCAGAAGATAATGGAGTATATTTTTAAAACAAAATGGACATAGTTTCTATGGTGATAGGCAAAAAAACTCAGTATCTTATTTTTCATTTACATATTCTATGGGTTACAAATAGCATTTTCCAATAAGTATATCACATTTCCCAAAGATCATCCAACTATAAACTCCGTAAATGGCTTCATCTTGGATTTATCGCATCAATATTTCTCCATCTAAACTCGAAGCAAAACTTTGATACTAACATAATTTTACACCAACTATGTATTTACTGCAGTAAACATTTTATAATATTTAAACTTGATTTTCAATACACAGATTTTTTTGCTCACTAGAATTCAAACTTGTAAAAACAATTTCTTTCCTAAAATACTTTTCAAAGGATTGAAAAATAATACATCTTATTCCCATTTTACTTTACCGAGTTGTTGGTGGCGGTGTTTGCCATAATGACTGTGCCTGATAGTGATTCCATCTTCCTCACCTACAGTCTTCTCTGACGAAAATAAGCTAAGACTTCTCATCTTCAGTAATCTGGGGGAACCTTCCTGGAAACTGTCTCTAGCTTCCACAACCGCATCTCCCGAAAGGATGGGAGGCACAACTCTTTTTAAAAAGTCCATGATGAGGCTCCTCTACATTACTAGTCTTGGGAGCAGGCAGAAAAGGCGCCTGCACCAATTTCCTTGATGAGGAGGAGATAAGGTCCACTCTGTATGTCAGAGAGCAGACACGTCATGTGAGCTTAGGTGGTGCTGCACAGCCGCAGGCCAAGTGCCAGCTGTTTGGAGGCTGATTTTTAGGACATTTGCTGTTCCTGCTGATAACAAGCCCAACAGCTATCGGCCATGAAACGGCACTTCATGTATGCAAGTCCTTGTACATCTAACAATGGGTGTTCACAGTAATAGTCAGACCATAAAAGTTTTAGCATCCGTCTAGTTTAACATTAACACTCTGGAAACTGACACTGTAATGATGTTAAGACAAATTTACTTTGGCCTGAGGTGTGCCGTCCTTTCAAATAAACCTCCGAGTATAGCTGAAGTGTAAAACTAACTAGGAGTCAAAAGATTATGACCTAGCCGGTTTGGCCTGTGGCTGAAGGATCCTGGGTTATATTCCGGTCAAGGTCAGGTACCTGGATTGCAGGCTCCTGACCTTGGTCAGAAGCATGTGCGAGGTAACCAACCTTGATTTGTCTCTCTCGCATCAGTGTTTCTCTCTTTCTCTCCCTCTCCCTTTCATTCTCTAAAAATCAATGGAAAAAATACCCTCGAGTGAGGATTTTAAAATATACTCTTATGATTCTAAAACTCACTAACAGACCTCAGGAACATCAAGCTTCATAGTATTATGAACTTGATTTATGAAAGCAATATTGTACTATGAACATTCCAATGTATTTTTAAAAATAAAAAAGAGTACTCATCACAATCAATTGCAATTACCAACAGTAGCAATGGAGACAATGGCATGAATTGCAAAAAAAAAAAAAAAAAAAAAAAAAAGGTGATAATTTACAATATCTGGACCTAAGAATATAAATTTAAAATATAATTATCTAATTAAATAAACCCAGCAATCAACCTTACATAAGTTGTAACTGAGCACTCTACTAAATATATTTAAATAGATAAAGTGGCTGATCCTGTTGCTTAATGTACTCCAGAAGTGTGACGAAATACTTCAGTGGAAGGTACCTACGTAAACTGAAATTAATACCTCCTTTTTTCCCTTCCTTCGCCTGCCCTCTGGTGGGGATAAGTGAGCAAGAAGGAAATGAAAAACCAAAGAGAACAAATAAGGAATAAACTCCCTAAGTAATCAAATTATAGCTTTGAGGACATGTGTTTTAGTGAGAAAACAAATCTGATTCACTTAGTGAAATGCAAGCACATCTCATTCTTCTCAACCCAAAGAAACTGATTTACATCTTTGAATAGATAAAACATAAAACTGTCTATAAATACATATCAGGAAAAATCATAGTGAAAAAAATTTGCTGGTTCTGAATTAAATCCTCATTTCTCTACATTCATTATAAAGTCTACTATTCTTTATTTCATTATCTAAAATATATTCATTGAAGGTCCTCTACATGTAAAGCATACATAGTATTAAGTTTCAAAGAAAAGTGAGAGGACTTTTTAATGCAAATCCTGCCTCAGGGAATTCTACAGTGAAAAGGAGGTAAAAAAACAAAACAAAACGAAAAGAAAAACAAGGAAGTCGAGTATAGAGCCTACAGAAATGTACCTACTAGGAAAACATACTGACTTTTAAAATATATATTGTATTGGTTTTTAACAGAGAGGAAGAGAGAGGGATAGAGAGTTAGAAACATCGATGAGAGAGAGAAATCGATCAGCTGCCTCTTGCACACCCCCCACTGGGGATGTGCCCGCAACCAAGGTATATGTCCTTGCCCGGAATCAAACCTGGGACCTTTCAGTCCGCAGGCCGACACTCTATCCACTGAGCGAAACTGGTTTTGGCGGAAAACATACTGATTTTTAAAAATACTTCTAAGAAGAGATGCAAATCAAAACAACAATGTGGTACCATCTCACACCTGTCAGAATAGCCAACATCAACAAATCAACAAACGACAAGTGTTGGCCAGGTTGTGGAGAAAAAGGAACCCTTGTGCACTGCTGGTGGGAATGCAGACTGGTGCAACCACTGTGGAGGACAGTATGGAGTTTCCTCAAAAAACTGAAAATGGAACTCCCATTTGACCCAGTAATCCCACTCTTAGGAATATATCCCAAGAAACTAGAAACACCAATCAGAAAGAATATATGCACCCCTATGTTCATAGTAGCACAATCTACAATAACTAGAATTTGGAAACAGCCTAGGTGCCTGTCAGCAGAGGATTGGATCAAAAAACTTTGGTACATCTACACAATGGAATACTATGCTGCCATAAAAAGAAGGAATTCTCATCATTTGCAGCAACCTGGATAGAATTAGAGAACATCATGCTGAGTGAAATAAGCCAGTCAATCAAAGAGAAATACCACATGACCTCACTCATTTATGGAAATTAAAGAACATTATAAACTAATTATCCAAAAGACAGATATAAAGACAGTAAAGCAACAAGCAGACTGTCCAATTACAGCGGGGAGGTTAGGGAGATCTGGGGGAGATAAGAGATCAACCGAAGGACTTGTATACATGCATATAAGTACAACCAATGGACACAAAACTCTGAAGAGGGAGGGGATGTTTGCAGGGAGAGAGGGGGCAATGTTAAAATATGTACACAGATAATAATTTAATAAAAACATTAAAAAATAAAAATACCCGTATTTTCCGGCATATAAGACGACCCCTAATTTCACAGTTAAAACATAGGTGTAGGCCTATATTCGCTGTATAAGACTACCCCCCACTTCAAAGAAAAGACTTACTTTGCCATCAAGATCTGCAGGTAATTTTTGTGCAATTTGGTCTTTTGCCCCCGATTTTCGGTTGACTTTTTTTCGTTTCAAAGTCATCTTATACGCCGGAAAATACGGTACTTCTAAGAGACAGAGTTTCTCTTAACCTTTGAACATGAAAGGAGAACCCATCTGCTCAGCCTATTCCCACACACAGAAGAAACAGCCAGTTAGAACCATAATTCATACACCATATTATGAACCATAATTCATAGCCTGGACGTTATCAGTGTGTCTTTTAGGGCTTTTTCTTTCCTCTTTACGAGTGTGACCTCGGGTCCTTTAACACTTATGCTTGTGGCTTTCCTCAGGTCCCTTTGCAGGCCTTCCTTATCTCTGGAGCCCAGAAACACAATGGTAGATAGCAAATGCGGATTGTAGAGGGCAAGCTACCTTCACATCTGTTCATGATATACAAGAGCCACCTGTGTCACTACTAACCCTCCGCTCTAAATCGAATTTCCAACTGGGAAAATGAAGGGCAAGGATTAGGTGTCATTGAAGGAACCACAAAATTTTTCTCAGATTTCCTTCGTTTGACAAATATTGACTGGGCAGCTCCTATCACAGCCTGTGCAAGACGCAAAGGCACCGACGATACATCCCTCTCCGCAAAAATCTTACTACTCAGGAAGGAAGAGAAATCCTCACAGCTACAAGAGCCCCTGTAGGGTTGGCCAAGGCTCTGCTGAGGAAGCCTACAGGTCCATGTCCCCTGCCCAGCCTGCTCCTACACCACCTCTCTTAATAGAGGCTGAGCCCTGATAAAACCCTGGAAGCCACACTCCTTTCCAGGGTCAGCTTCCAGCAAGCAGAAAGCATGGAGCTCCCCTGACAGAACTGTACCCATGAGTGGCTGAATCCATGAGGAGGAAATGCCCTAATGCCATGTTTGCAGGCTGATGTGTCTAAGATCTTTGGTTGATTATCACAACTTTCAACTCCAGGTATAACCATGATAGGATTAAGAAATCATAATAGAAGGTAATGGCTCAAACATAGCATTTCAAGGGCTTTTTAGACCTCACAGTCACTATTTAGCCTCCAGAACATGTAGTATAATCTTACCGTAGGACTCAAGACAGTAATTTCTTAGCGGTAACTTCAATCATCTAATTCTGACAGTGGGACTCTTGAGCAGTTCTGAGAGCTAAGCATTTAGGTGTTAATCATCCAAGATTCAAATAAATGGCTTCAGCTCTGAAGAAAAATAAGATATAAGATTCATACATTAGTTATGTTTGTAATAGCACATCTGTGTGTCACTCATATCCATCCTTACTCCTGAATATCTTATCCAGCAGTGTCACCTGGTGCTGAAGTTATCCTCTTTCAATAGTGTTGCATTACTCTGCTCTTAAATTTATTTTCTGAAAATTTTCAAAATAATGCTGAATCGAAACTAGTATAATAAACACACCATTATTAACTCATGGCAAATCATGTTTCATTTATATCTCCACCTACCCCAGACCCCTCTCCCACTACTCTGGATTATTATGAATCAAATTCCAGACATTTACCACTTCTTTAGATAATTCTGCATGCAAAGATCTGCTTTTTAAGTATAATCTAATATCATTATAATATCTATAACAAATGAGTAATAATTTCTTTTTAACATCAGCTACCTATCTGTGCTGAAAATCCTCTGTCTCACAAGTGGTTTTTATATTTATTTTCACTATTTTTTAAGTATATTTTTATTGATTTCAGAGAGAAAGGGAGAGGGAGAAAGAGATAGAAACATCAATGATGAGAGAGAATCATTAATGGGCTGCCTCCTGCATGCCCCAATTCCTGGTCAGGACACATGCACAGATCAGCCCATAACCTGTGCATGTGTCCTGACCAGGAATTGAACCGTGATCTCCTGGTTCATAGGTTGATGCTCAACCACTGATCCACACCAGCCAGGTCATAAGTGGTTTTTAAACAGATTGCTCCAATCCAGATCTAAACAAAATTCATATAGATAACTGTTACTGTACCTTTTAAATCCTTTTTAACTTATAGTTCCTCTCCTTCCTTTCTTCTGAGTAGAAATGTAATAAGACAAGTAATGCTTTTACTATCCAACAATTAACCAATACATAAAAACCTTAAATATGCCATAATACATTTAATATTTTAATTTTATTCCCTAAAATAAACAGATTTGCAAAGTAGCT